TACAAAGTCTACTGAGAGAATTGTCAAAATCTATGCTGTATAAGCCTTATCTCGAATACCACTGATTGTTCCTATACCAGTTTTTTCGATATATCTCCTTTATGTAGGAAGCTAAACCCATTAAATTGTGTTACCGGTTTACATACCGATCACACAGCAATGAAAATCACTTTGATTGGTGCTATATAAGATATATCTTCCATACCTCTGATTGTTTAGATAAGATTTTTATATGTGTAACTCCTCTATCTATGTGTGCTGTGAATATATAAATTTTTTCAAATGCACTAATCTGTTAAAGTAAAGTTTGCAGATTTTCATGAAAGGTATGAAGCGTTCGGCATAGCTGAAGACAGCGCTGCTCTTACTTGTTTTATTTTGAAATCAAAAATATTTAGAGGTCGCTCAAAGCGCCCAAAGTTTTCCATGTATTTTATATGGGGAAACAACAACTCAATAGAAATGGTATAGAATTCTTAAAAATCATTATTCTTCTATCGGAAAACCCAGCTTATCTGCGGGAGATTCCCAATAATAATAACCATTCTTTCATCGCAACTATAATTTATAGGTCCGCCAAAAACCCACAAAAACCCCGAAAAACTCAATGAGGAGACTAATAAAAAACCTTTGGTATATAAAAATGGATGAACGGATTTTGACGAGATTTTCTCTAATGTACACTGTATCGACTGGAGAGGGATCGTTTTTTACTTAGAATTTTAATAGGGTTGCCACCTGTCTAAAAAACTGTAAGATCCGCACCGTTCGTTGGATTACAAAAGATGAGGTGTCAAATGAAAGGGATTGACCTCTAAAAAAGCACTAATATTTTTTTTTAATAGGGTTGCCATCTGTTAATAAAATTACTAAATTCAATTCTAATAAGCGTAGGCGTCAGTTCTGCACCGTCACTGTGAAACGAAAAGACCTAGCCTGTGGATGTGTAATAATGTATTATTTTTCTGAGTAGGCTTGCCAAATGTTTAAAAACTATAAGATCTTCAACGTCCGTTGGATAAAAAAATTAGATACCGAACGAAAACGCATTCAAAAACTTTAAGGTTTTTGAGTAGGGTTGCCACCTATTTAAAATTACTTTGTTCGATACATAGTATAAAGCAAAGGCGATATATTTTAACCACGCCACTGAACGGATTTAGACACAATTTTTTATGTATATAATAAACGAAGTACGTGATGACATATGATTTCTTTCTCCAAATACGTAAATGTACATACATATGCATACATTCAGCGCGTGGCGAAGCCTCGCGCATCCGTGGCCGGCTAGTAAATACATATATCTAACACATACATATGTACATATATGTGCATCGCTCATTTACTATAAAAGTATCATAATCCCAGAAAAGCAAAAATCGCGCTAAGTATGCAAGAATGAACATTACCTCGTTCTTATGATGTGTAAAAATTGCATAGCTGTAGCGATTGCCAGTAGCTCACCAGAACAAAATCAGGCTTATCTTGAGTTTCGCCCGAAAAAAAATTCACCCGAAAAATGTTCATGCGCGCATAGTAAATTCACAGAAACAAATAGTGAAAAGTGAACCGTTTTGAAGAAAATGAAACTCATGATAAAGCTGAATATGTATTAATTTTTCCCCAGGGAGTATATGTAAATTCAAAACTTTTAAGCTGGTTTTCTCGAGTTTTTAGTTTTTTGAGTTATGAAAATATTGAAGTAAAACTCAATTAAAAAATTTCAAAATTCATTTGGACTCACCCACGTCAAATATTTAAAATGGAAACAAAAAAATTGAAATTCATGTTCATCAAAATTTTCCATATCATTATGAAATGATTAAAAATGTCTTTTAATCGCATACATATTCCCTTTAACAACCACCCTTTAATTCTTTGAAAAAAAAATAACTTTTTTAATTATTCTTTACATCGAAATCAGTGCACACTCATCTGCTATCAAAAACAGTTATAAGCAAGTAAGCGTATACCAGTTTTTTCAGAATATTTCTAGTACTGCGAGCACATAGCTGTTTTTGATCAGTTCTAAACCAAAAGAGATATAAGAAAACGGCAAATGCAGAAATGTTGGCAATAGATAGTGTTAATAAAATATGCAATAAAAAAATTTACAAAAATCACATAACTGTTTTTGTTGGCGCAGCGACGATATGTAGTTGTACTCATGATACAAAAAAGAAGGTAGTTCCATTTAATGACATTCGTTGTTGTTGCTAACCATTTGACTTTTAATAAAATTATGACATTTCATAAAATTCATGCTACCTGATCACCAGAGATAATATTTTTTTTTTGTAAAAGTAAACAAAAATGTATGAAAATGAGTGAAGTTTAGTGAAGTTATTGAACATATATGAAAGGAGGGCTGCATGACCATCCGTCACCTCTCGAATTCAAGTACAGATTTCGATCATACCTTCTAGGTAATTTTTTAACCACTTAAAGAAATTATTGTTGTTGTCATAAAGATTCTAAAATGTATGCATGAACTTTATTAGGGCGAAACGAAACTATTTTGAGCACGGAAACAAATGTTGAGTCTTCAAGTGAAGTAATGTTAAAATTTGAAGAGGAGTTGCTCAGTGAAAATGTTTTCAAACCACTTAACGATATTGAAATATCCCTTTCGTTTTTATTTGATTTCTAATTTTTTAGCTCGCTTAGCTTTAGTAGCTCGCAGAAGAGCATGAAGCAGAAGATTTCATCAGTCCACTCAAAGATGTGGAATATGATGGACTTGAAAATTTTGCCGGCTACATAATTTCGAAAATGGGGTTGACAAAACTAGGCTTCAGGACGCATGTAGAAAGTGATCAAAATTATACGTATGTTAACTGTTTATCGGAGGGCGGTCTGTACAAGCCTAATTCAAGTTTTTTGCATACATTGGAAATTTTGAATTCAAAATTGGTTGAAATTAATGGTGATTCGCTAACCACAAAGCCAAAATTTTTGCAAAATCTGATGAGAAATTTAAAAGTAAATTTGGACCAAAATATTATAAAAAGATTTTATTTGGGAAGAACATTCTTTAGAATTCGATTTTTAAATCGCAAGATTAAAGAAACGAAAATTGTATATCAAAATAAGAAAATGAAAAAAATAACAACATAATGCACTAATGGTTTTTATTATAAAATAAAAAGAATAATTACAATGTAACAGTTTACATTTTATATATTTTTAATAAAAGAGGGGCAAACCACGTAAGCAAAAAAATATCAAGTACTGATTGTGAGTTTTGATTTGAAATATTCTCACATTGGTAAAAATATGGGAAAGAAAATACTCCGATGTATTGTTTTAATATTATCAAAGTGGCAAGGCCGTTGATAATACTGACAATTTATGAAACTTCAAAAAATTTTATTATCCGTCAAAAGTTGTTTATTGAAACTACCTTCTTTTTTGTATCATGGTTGTACTTGTCGACATTCGTGGATACCTATTGATTGTCAGTCGCTGTAAAGTAAAGCGCGCAACGGTTCTGGTAAATGAGTCAACAAAGGTATTTAGGTATTGACCTACAGCCCCGAATGAGACTTTTACGCAGTATAATATTGGCAAGCCACATCCATGGGGCCAATCGTAGCACACGACAGCTCGATTTAGTCAATGGCGCGATGTAATTTCAAACTTTCGGCACTTCTCATTTGACGATGTAGATCAATTCAGAAATATTTTTAAATAGTGTTGCCACTTATTTTTTACCTGAAACAATTTATATATCAAATGAAAGGTATTTTTGAGAATTTAAATAAAGAAATATTTTCCATGAGGGTTGCCACGTTTTTTTGTAATGCAAACATACAAAACCTTTCATTATTGAATCATGGAGTCATACGTACTTTTCTGCTTAATGTTCAACTCATTGTCATTTACATTGGTGTCGAACCAAATCTTGGTTGCGTATATTTTAAGCAAGCTTTCCTATTGAACAGCTTTTCATGAAACATATAATTGCTTCGCTTGTATTGCCGTACTGGAGTGCAACTTATTCCTATGAGTTGCCTTGCAACATGTTGGCTCGAAACTCGAAATTGTTACTCGAAGCATATCACTGGCTCGTATCATATTTCCAGCATTTTTCAGCTTTTAAATGAAATTAAGGAGTAATTTTTGACTTAAAGTTTACATTCGCTGATCATATTAATTTTATTATTACAAAATCGTATGCCATGCTTGCTTTCGTAAGGCGCCATAATGGGGAATTCACCGAAAAGTATACATTGAAACTTTTGTATATGGCTTTTGTACGTTACGCGTCCTTCATCTGGTGTACCTATTATGCATGCCATATTGGTAGGATTGAGCGGATCCAAAAAATTTTTTTACGCTTTGCGCTGCGTAGCTTACGCTTTTCTGACCCTATCCCCACCTGTGAATAGAGATGCCTGTTGATACACTTAAAATCCTTGCAAAGTAGGAGAATAATCCTTTCTTTATCTTTTGTATTTGATCTAGTCTGCGGTGTTATAGACTGTCTCGTACTCCTTGAGAGGATTTTCTTTAATATACCTGCCAGACCTCTACGCTGCTCAGAGTTTTTCCATCTTGGTGTTATTAAGGATCTATATGCACGAAATGCCTTAATTGAATTCAACAGAATTTATAAATATGTTGATATCGATTTTTCAACTTCAAAAAATCGCTTTAGGAATTCTTTGATTCTTTTTTTATAAGTAGTTTTATTTTTCTCTAAATAGTTATGTATTAATAATTTTAAACTATTTTCTATTTAGCCTATAAGAATTTTTATTGTATTCATTGGCTATAAAGAAATAAATAAATAAGTAAACATAAGTATGCCACCATTTTGTACCATGACACGATTTTGGCAAAAAAATTAACAACTAACATTTACTCAAATACATACAAAATATTCTTTTTTATGACAAGTGTTACCTCCAAATTTATGTTGCTGCCTGCATTGGCTGTTAGTTTCAGTTGCTTTCAACTAATGAAAAATAGTTAGTCATTGAGTATGTAGTCACCTTCGTTGATACAAGTTACAGTTGGCGTAGCTGGAAGTCGTCTGTGATATGATTAAGTATTGGTTCCAAGCAGCAATAAATACAGCAGCAATTATTAAATATGCAGGACTTTCTATGAAGACGCTATCTGCTGTACCAGTTTGCATAGCCGCAGGTTGTTCACCTGAAAATCAAAGAAGAAAGCTGTATATACTTGCTTCAACTACAAAATATACACAAAAGCTTTTTACGTTACCAGTGAGGACATGTACTCGTACTGACGCTGGTACCGCGCCAATTGGTGCGCAGGTGTAATTTCCAGAGTCACGCAATGAAGCGCGTGTTAGCATTAAACGACTAGTGGTACCCACATCCGTTTTCTCCGTTTCTAGACTGATTCCACCGCGCTGGGAATCAAAGTCGACAACCGATGAGCCGTGATACCTGGGAAAATTGTAAAAAATATACATCTATACATAAAAGGCCTAATTCTACTATATATATGTGAAAGTATGTATGTATGTATGTACATATGTATGTGCCAGGTTGAAGTCTAAACGGACGGACAGAATCGAAAAAAAATTTACAGAGTATTGCCATGACACCTGGGCCTATAATAAGGTGAAAAAAGTTGGGATCCGACAAGGGGGGCGTGGCGCCTCCCATAGGAGTTAAATTTTTAATCAGCCATAACTTCCAGACCATAGTTATCTGAACTTGAAACATGGTACGCAGACATGTCAATGGTAGATGCTTATAGGTAGGTATATATAAACGAGTTTGTAAAAGGGGGCGTGGCACATCCCATAGGCGTGGCATTTTTTATCAGCTATAACTTCGGAACCATAAGTCCCACGAACTAGAAATTCGATATGCAGACATACCAATGGAAGGTGCTTATAGAAGGGTACGTATAAGCGAGTTTGTAAAAGGGGGCGTGGCACATCCCATAGGCGTGGAATTTTTTATCAGCCATAACTTCGGAACCATAAGTCCCACGAACTTGAAATTTGGTATGCAGACATATCAATGGCAGGTGCTTATAGGAGGTTATATATAAACGAGTTTGTAAAAGGGGGCGTGGCACATCCCATAGGCGTGGAATATTTTATAAGCTATAACTTGGGAACCATGAACATGAAATTTGGTAAGAAGACATATCAATAGTAGGTGCTTATATGAGGGTATACATAATTGAGTTTGTAAAAGGGGGCGTGGCACATCCAGTAGGAGTGGAATTTTTAATCAGCCATAAATTGGGAACCATAAGTCACATGAACTTGAAATTTGGTATTCAGACATAGGTATCTATGAGAGGTGTTCAGAGTGAAGTATATATAAATGAGTTTATAAAAGGGGGATATACACATATGTATTCATCTATTAGATAACTCGGATATTTAAAACTGTGTGTTTTTTTTGAAACCTTACCGTCTTTATATTATTTTGAAATGGAAAGATTAAATTGTTTTTTAATCCCGCGATGCTATTAAACGAAAAATGTTCATTCATAATGAATAAACCTCCTTCCGAAATAAGCATTCTATCAGAAAAGTGCAGCTATACTAAAACAGCTAAGCGAATAGGTAGCTAAACGGAATGTACCGTAGTAGACTAATTTTAATTAAGAAATTTGATCGTTACCTTAATCCACCTAATATAAATAATGGAACAAGATTTGCAGTGCAAGTGATGATCAACATGTGTTTAAGCGACTTATGCATTTCCCGCATAAACAAAGAAGCAGTGAACACACACACGCATTTGTATTGCATTTCACGCACTTGTAGTGCACTCCAGCATAAAACCAAGTGCAGCGAACAAACACACGCACTTGTGTTTAAAAGTAATTCGTTCGTTCTTAATTGGCTATGCATTTTTTATGCAATTCTCAAATATCTCTTCGCGGAACTTAGTGAAGTGATAAGTCGGTGGCATTTCCAGCCATGGTCAACGCTAACCCAGCTTGGCTATCACACGGTGCTTTAAGCATCGCTCTCACTCCACTCCCGGAGTGTTTTTTGGTATGCTAGTAAGCTACGGCTTGCAAGCCACACAGGGGCTCTGCATCCATACATCCCCAAATAAATCCCCGCTCATTGCACAGCAGCCTACGGCAGCTAGAGCACGATTCCTCCATTGGAGTCCCTCCAAATAAATCCCCGCTCATTGCACAGCAGCCTACGGCAGCTAGAGCATGACTCCTCCAATGGAGTCCCCCAATAAATAAATGGTATAAGGGCCACATCATGCGCTACCGCTTCATAAGCCTGCTCGCATATCTCACTCTCTCTCTCTCTCTCGCATAGCAGGCATATGGAGTGCGTGGCAGTGATCGGACTTGAAAAAAAAATGTGTGTGGTAGAATCTGGAAAAAAATGTGGTATATTTCAAAAAAATGTGGTAGATCTCAGGTTTTTGATCAAACTTTGTACAAAAATTAATAATATTCTGCAAGGTTTCACCTAAATTGCAAACATTTTAATTCGAATCCAAGAAAATTCGATTTTAGTATAATAAAATGCAAGATTGAAGTTGCTAAAAATTCGTTTGAGTTTTGGCAATTTTTTTCCTTGACAGTGTAAAGCAGTTCCTTCCATATCAAGATATTTTTCGAACCTTGCGGAGTGCTGCCAGCTTTTCTTTTTATCACACCACGATGTAGCGTTCCAGAAACAGATACTTGGGATTTGCCGATTTTGACAATTCTCAAGCAAAAGTAAACAACGCTTTAGAAACTTAAGATGCACTGAAATTTTCTAATACTTTCACATAAATCGCCGTTTTTTTAACATTTTCGCTATTAATTATTTTTTATAAATCATATATTTTGCAATTTAACACAATAAAACCATGTTTCCTGTCGAAAAATTGAATATTGAGAAAATTTACTATTTTAATGTTTATTTTATCCTCCCATTCTGCCTGTTGTTAGTGTTTAGTGTTGGACAATTTTTGCTCTTAAAATTAAGAAAATTATGTCGAGCAAAAATAAAACTACTCAAAAACCCGAATATGTGGTAGATTTCAGACCTTGTGTGGTAGATGTGGTAGGTGCTCAAAAAAGTGGCAGATCTACCACAATGTGGTAAAAGTCCGATCACTGGTGCGTGGTTGGCTTGATGTGCACCTATAAACCATGTGGGCTCATTGAGCTCGATACCTCAACACTCACAAAGGTAATCCCTACCTCCGCTACTCCTCTAACTCGGCCACACCTCCAAACCTGATCTCCCGCTCTCCCTAATCTAAACAATATATGTATTAGTTGAAGCACGATAAAGCTAAAAGTATGGCTCATAAGGATGCCTTAATGTAAACAAAGAAAATATTTTGTCTCCTTTAAATTATGCTGAACTGAATATTTGTATTACTGTTTTATATTTTTATTTGTTTACCCCGAACGATGTCGGGTGCTCTGCTAGTACTCTATATACATATATGCATGTACATTTCTTAGAAAACTGTCATAACTCAAAAAATTAAATTTTTAACAATTGGTGCAGATGCCTTTTTATGCACTTTGGGAGCAAATTTAGAATTCTAAACGCATTTCTTAAAAAATACCGTTTTTGAGTTATGACAGCCTCTTGGTAAATAAGCGTTATGTACCTATGCACACAAGGGTATTATAACTTTGTTCACATAACAGTTTTTTTGTGACATACTAAAGGAATCCAGATAGATATAGCAGAGAGATATCTTAACGAAACTCGGTACGTGTATTTCTTTTGAGCCAAGGGCGATGGTATTGAAAATGGGCAAAATTGGACAATAACCACGCCCACCTTCCATGTAACGGTACATAGTTTGAAAAAATGATACCAATTGATAGAACAGAAATATGTGCCGCTCACTCATGACTACATAAGGTTGTATCACTAAGTCTAACTGAACATACTATAGAATATGTTTGAAATTTACTTATTTTGTATTTTTCTTTCTTATTTCACTTGCAATGCCTACTCGCATATTTTTGCCTTCTATGCTCTTCTTAAGGATTAAAATTACATAAATAAAGCAGATTCACACAGGAGTAGTTGTGTAAAAAATCAGTCAAAGCACATAATTATCAACAGCAATATAATTTCTCAAGCTGGATAGCCGGACTATCAATGAAATTTGGATTTTAATTCTAACTAAACCGATATGTCATTATCACCATATACTACTATATTTATGCTTCATATCAACTCGCTTATATTCAACACGAGTTGAAAGCCAAATGCAGTTAATTACTTGAACTGCCCGTCAGCTGTTTTGTACCATTTGCTATTTTGTTGTATAAAATAAAACGATTGAATCGGAGAAGGAGTTTTTTCGTTTTGCAATACCGAGATAGTAATTTACAGTCTCGTACGCATCATTTTTTGCTCCAAACTAGACATGTTCATTTAAATAGTTAACTCAAATCTAAGGCCCAATTTCAGATGGCCTACGTAAGTAACTGCTCTTAATGGTCAATATTGGCTATTTATATGAGATATGTATGCAACCCTGTGATTATACCATACAACTAAGATTGATTGGTAAATTGTTTGATCAAACCCACCAAAAAATCAGCTGTTCAGCACAAAATGTAAACAAACAAGCAAATGCAACAACAATTTCAAGGAACAAGCAGCAGTGCTGCCAATTGTTTGGCATATTTAAACAAATTTTATCTGAAGCCCAACGAAAGCTAAATGTCATTTAAACAACAATCCACAATTAAATTTAAGGGCCGTTTAAATATTCATTTGAAATTGGCCCTAAAACCGTTTATGCGCCCGAACATTTATATCGACGCACAATGTGGCCGCTTCATACAAGTTGATGCTCAAAACTCTGTAACCGCTTTTTTCTTCTGAAAATGCTGTAGACAAATCCAAAAGGGAAATATCTTACAATTTTTATAAAATTATTAGATTGTTTTGTGCACTAACACTGTTTAACAAAATAATTGTATACTTACTTCTTATTCTTAACACTGAAAAATAAAATAATTTTACAATGATAGTCACTTGAAATAAAAACAATGAGAAAACGGTACAGTGTATGATCAAAAATTAATTCCTCTTAAGAAGCATGAGATTTAGTTTCTGTATGCCCGAAATTCTCTTCTTAAAGCATGTATTTTACTTCTGGATCAAAGGTGACAGGTAATAAGGTCAACAGAAATAAGGTCACCAGGGGGGGAAATAAAGTCAATTGACATTATTACCTTTTCAAAAGCGAAATAAAATCCATTGACATTATTGCTATTTCAAACATTAAATTTGCTTAGCTTCCCAGCGGCCCGCGTCCGCGCGCACTACAGTCCCAGATGGTTTCTAAAATCACAAATTAGTTTATGCGCAAATTGCAGATAGAGGATATTAATGAATTTAAGCCCTCTATATTTTTATATTTGTAAGTTATTGGAAGATTTCTGCTGTGTTTTGGCAACAACTTGTCCGCAGTAA